AAAATGATTGCATTTTGAACGTTACATTATATAGTATTGTCTAAAGGAAGCAGCAATAATGTTATAAAATATATGACTGAACAATAATATTATTAATCATCTAGGGACCGCTTTAAATCTCAAAACTTTTCTATTTACCTATGTATGAGACCAATATTTGTCCGTTTTTGATAAATTTTTCAAGTCAGTTGATTGGTTATAGAATAGAAAAATCTGAAATCTTCTTCTATAATACAATCAATTAACACGTTTGAAAAATGTATCATACGATAAATATAATATCAGCCTAAGCATTTAAGAACTGCGTTGAAAAATCAAGAGAGCTCCTAAAATAAGAGCCTAGGCACTTTTAGTGCTCATTAATGTGTACAACATATTTATTGACGACAATTCGATACACGTAAAAGCGTTTTTATAAAATTTATATTTGACGCAAACTTCCTCGAGCAGTTCCTTCGCTTATTAAATAGAAAAACGTATCGAGAATATAAGGACTTACTTCCTGTACACTAAAAGAATGCAAAGTTCCGTTTTCGATGGCATACATCGATTCGGCCACCCCAACAGTGCTAAACGCCCAGCAAGCGCCGCAATTCTCTTGGCTCATAACTGGTCCTACGACTCCTTTATCTCGCCAATCAAATTTAGAGGGTATGCCCGTTATTGGTATCATTCTTTTCATACGATTAACTGAGCCCGTAGAGTGCTGATGATAATATGACGCTGTTGTATGTTTTTGTCCTAACAAAATTGCCGTATTCAATAAATAAATTACAACGTTAAATTATGCTCATTGCAATTGTACTTTTTTCGGGAAAATTCTTATAATTTGTAAAGTAATGTAGTATTCTTAAGTATTTAATGAACTTTAATGAAGGTTGTTCTTCATATTTCCAATTTAACCCTCAGTACCCACATCTCAAAAAAGTCTCTATCTACTCACATCCGGGTATTTGTAACCCAGGTTTTTCTTTTGCTTATATCTCAGATTGTAATGCATCGATTTTAACTAATTTTGTTTTAATTGTTTAAAGACTGAAAAAAAAAGAATTTTGTAGTTAGAAAGTTGTCGTAGCAGAAAAGATATTTTGCAATAAGTGAGAAGGGATTGGAAAAAAACATCTGAACTACGAAGATCTGGGGGGTTACACAAACTTTTTGTGAGTACTTTTTACTGAGGGTTAAATATTTAATCGTTATTTTCCTTAAATTTTTCTTAAATTAAATTTACCCCGTAAAGGTAAGTCTGGAATTAATGCTTGTTGCATGAATTCATCATCGGATAAATCGGAAAATTCTGTCAGCCCATAGTATGCGCTTTCTGGCGACGATCGTATACTATTCAGCTTTTCGATGTGTCGCAATGATTTCTGCAATTGATTAATATTATTGTAAGAAAAGAAAGCTGCGTATATATAAAATAATTTACAAAATTTAATTTCTATTGTATTTATGTTATCACGTAATCTTTTGATATATTTTATTAATACATAATTACTTAATTTATAGTACACATATATTTATCTTTTATTATGAATTAATAATTTATTTAACACATAGTATACATTCTGGATGTATAATTGTTGTGTATTGTATAATTAAAGATATATGATAAACGACAAAAAAAAATAATAATGATATTATTGATGTGCAGTAACTATAAAAAAATTAATAAATGTAAATATAATGAAATGTGCCTAGTAAAACTGTAATTAGAAACTGAAATTAGAATTAAACAAACTTTATTATCAAAAAAAATACGGACATTACTTTAGCATTAACGGGCATATACAATATATATATGTATTTTATAAAACATTGATTTTAATTTAGCTAACGAATCTAATAAAAATAAAACAAAGTTTTAAAATTAGTTTTAATATTTCTTTAACGAAGATATTAATTAAGGCATTTATAATATTTAAATAAATAACAATGAAATATACTTGAACAAAATTCAGATTTAGAATTTTTTTGAAGCAGTTTCAAAACTTTATCTTATTACAATTTTTTCAGAATTTAAAGACGAATGATGATTAAACGTTGAAAAAGATATTGGTAATAAATTGATAATAAAATATTGGTAATAAATTATCTTCTTTAACATATTTATCAAAGCAAGTTTTTCCAAAATAAACATTATTCTTCTCCTATCAATAGAGCTAAAGTGTCACATCATATCACAGCGAAAATAAGAGTGACATAATAGACGCGTGTGCGCGTGCATGTTGTATTTACATATTAGAATACGATTAATAAGCAATTATCATTTAATTAAAAAATCCCTTAATGTAAAACTTATATAATTTAAATGTATCTATATACGTAGAATAAACGGTGAGTTAAATTCGAAACGGACAACAAGGTTGTTGTTGCACAATCTTTTAAGTTATTCCTACAATCACGGTTTACAGACAAATCTTTACCTGAAAACGCTCAAACCGCTCTTCATATTTTGCGGGATCATTCCTGTAGGATTTATTATATCGGGCTATATAGTTGGCGAACAGTTCCGCGTCCTTCTCAGTTTTATCGAAATCTACTTTGATCGGCACGATAAAGAAGCAAAGACTCACGATCAGCACTATCACCACCACTGTTCGCCATTCCATGTTTCATGGACGACGACGCAGACGGCAGAACGCACGTTCGTGATGTGCGTACGTGTTGTCACGTGCTACAGACGACGCAGACGCGATAAGTAGAGAGTGGTCAAATAACAAGTGTTATGGCTAGTATTTAAAGACTTGTTGAGTAAACATCTGGATACCGCATGCTATCTTTGAAAATGGCGATAGTATTAGATACTCTTGTGAACAACTCTTTAGCGGAGATGTTCAATTTCGACTAGATTCTTTAAAAAACGATTTTTTTATCCGCAAAAGGTCTATTCCAAATCGATTTGACAAATCTTGAGTTTAAGGCAGCTCGATTCATTTAATGAGAATCGATTTTTAACTTCTTTAATCGAAAGTTGCCTTAATTTACTTTCAAGAAACATACACAGTTGAAGTGCATTCTCACGTGCGTACCGAAACGTATTGTAGTAACTAATAATAATTAAAAATGAATAATTTATATTACGTATGTTATACTCTACATTTTTATAACGTTGTGTCATTTGTGTCTTAATTGTTTTCTGAACGTAGTAATTTAATCAAATTTTTATTATTGCAGAGTTATATTTAGGAATTTAAGGTATAATTATTTTATCTCTGTTGCTTATCGAATGTTAAACAAAGATAAAAGATGATATTTGGATACATCCAGATGAAGTTTCTGAAGGCTGTCCTCTATAGTTAGAGGTTGTCATTATCTTAATTTTTAAATGACACAAGAGTACTCTGTTGCGTACTCTGTTTTTACGTCACCATTAATCGAGTTTATATATCCATAGTCATTAACTAATTATTACTGACAAAATGTATAAACACTAGTTAAATTTAATTTTATAACACTAGTTATAAAATCTAATTTAACGCGACATTTATACATATACGACATTACGTTAGTAATTAATAACTGTGGAAGTTGTTAAACTTAGATTTTTTAATTAAAATTATTTTAAATTATATAGAGACAAATCAAAATTATATTTTAATTGTTTTATCACTTTTAAAATGATATCATACTATTAAAAATTAATAATATGATTCTTTATAATTGAATCGATTTTTAACAGATCTATTCCTTCAGCCACAATTTCTAAATGGATCGATATCGATCGGTCCGACTCAGGAAACAATTCAGAATCGATTTTTTAATTGACAAAATCGATTCTTTAGTTGAGAAAAAAAAATCTAATTAAAAAATTCTTTTGTTTTAAAATTATTTTGACTTAATTATGACATTTATAACGTTTAAATAATGAACAGTGAAATACACGTCTTTAATAAAATTATAAAATGTTTTTTTTTTCAACCAATTTTAAAACTTTATCTTATTACAATTTTGAATGGAGAGTTTATAAAAGCAAATGATGATTTAAAAAATATTGACAATAAATTATTATCTTTTTTAATATTTTTTTCAAAAAATTTTTTAAAAAATCAGTCGAAAAAATTAAAATGGGTTTTTGTTTTATTATTGAGTCTGTATTTTAGCTCATTTTATGCAAAATTAAATAAGTACGTAAATATATTTCCAATGTTTTGGAAATAACAAAAGAGAAATCAAGAAACAGTATACAGAAATGCATCATGCAATTCTAATTATAAATGCCATTTTAAATCGCCATTTGAATTGCCAGTAGAAAAAAGTACAGTTATTTGGTTCATGTCTATTAGACCTGTAATATCTATGCATTTTTTAATTAAAAATTATCAGAAATGGCTGCAATTCATCCAGGGCAATTGTATGAGACAAATCATGTCAGTGGCGCCTTCTATTGAGATGATTACATGTTATTTATGCTTCTGTTTATAGAACATGTTATCATAGAACATGTTATCAATTGAGCATCGTTATAGATAAATAATATTAAAAATGTATGTACAGAGAGTTGAATTAAATATTAAAAATTAATCCTTTAAAAATTAATCCTTTTTAATAAGTTTTATTAGTTTACATAAATTAAACATATATAATATAATTCATCAATACTTCCATCTCTTTTTATATAAATTTTTACGCTTATATAAAGTCTTAGTAGTAATTGTCTTTAATAAAGCATGATTAACATTTTGCACAAGACACAACATATAAAATGTTTTTAGACTAAGATGACTACTCTCAGGTTTCTCTCTGGTATATATGTAGATCGATTTCATAATTGATAACATATTTGTTATCAACAGTAACACGCAATAATCAATAATACGTTGTAATAGATGGTACTACTAATAGGGTTTTTTTTCCCCCATTGTTGAATTCAATATGTAGCGCATGCGCTTCGATCGACTTCTCTGGGTTTCTCCCCTAGACAAGTCTTTTCGATCCCTTGGTTTCTTTCGTTGGCTTCGCTAAAATATGAGGCAGTGATGGAGAATCGTTCAATATCTAAGAAGCGGAAGGTTAGCGATCTTCAGAATTTATCATGTGCAATACGCAAAAATATTCTCATTGTTACAATGCGGAAAACTTGTGCGGCGATATTTAGCTGAAAATTGGATGAACGCGGTCACCGCGGTCCGCGGATGTCATGGATTCCAACGTCAATTCTCGCGTGGATTTTTCAACTCCACATGTTCTTTTTCAGAATTACTTAAAATGTATACATTTCTAGTAGATGGAATTCGGTATATTGTGATTTTTCTTTGTAATATCCTGAAATTACATATTTGATGTTTGCATTATATTTCTTTCAAATATAACCTATAAAATAAATTAATATAAACTTTCATTAATTAATTTTTATTTACTTTTCCACTTGTATCTATAATATAACTCGCACAATTCACTCCTGTTACAAACTTTTATGATACAGTTCTCTTAAATATAATGGATTATCTATATTAAATCTAATGGATAATCTAAATAAATTATATATTTATGCTATTTAATGTAAAGAATAAGAGATTTTTTGTGTTTTATATATATTCAGATTTTTCTTTTATTTTCAGTTTGTAGGCGATGGTGTCTTTAGAGCAGAGTTGAACGAGTTCTTGACTCGTGAGCTCGCTGAAGATGGCTATTCTGGTGTGGAGGTCCGAGTGACACCGAATCGAACTGAGATTATTTTACTGGCTACCCACACACAGAGCGTACTCGGCGAGAAAGGCCGTAGAATCAGGGAACTGACGTCTGTGGTACAGAAGCGTTTCAACTTCAAAGAACCCCAGAATGTTGAGTTGTACGCAGAGAAAGTGGCCACACGTGGTCTGTGTGCCATCGCACAGGCAGAGTCTCTTCGTTATAAGCTGATTGGAGGTCTTGCTGTACGAAGGCAAGTCAGAGTTTTATCTGCTTTCTTTTCATTTATCTTGTTACTCCTAATAACATCTATTTATTTCGTTATTTCTAATTATATCTTTTGTAATTTTCTTTAAATATTATTTTATTATCAGGGCATGCTATGGTGTTCTGCGTTTTATCATGGAATCTGGTGCGAAAGGCTGCGAGGTCGTTGTCAGTGGCAAATTACGTGGTCAAAGAGCGAAATCAATGAAGTTTGTTGATGGTCTTATGATCCACTCGGGTGAGCCGACTAATGAGTATGTGAACACTGCCACCAGGCATGTACTCCTGCGGCAAGGTACGATTGTATTATCATGTCGATTGCTTTGACTAACAATGGTTTCCATCGAAACGTAGAATCAAATTTGAGTCGATGGAAATGTGTTTACCTGTACTTGTTTTACTCTCATTTCAATCCACAGTTTCTACTTTCAATGGAAACAATCTTCTAAATTTAATATGCTTTGAATTGATGGTTTCAATGGAAGCTAGACCAATGTAGTAATGATCACGTTCAGCAAAATGTTTATTTTGCAATTTTGGAAAGTTTTCTTCACTGATGGGACTATTCTTCTAGATGTAAAAATATAATACAAGTAGCACAAAGAAAACTTCCTAGTAATTTCAAAATATTTTGCTGAATATGTTCATAAAGACTTGATATTAGAATGTATATACATTCATTTTACATCCAGTTTATTTTATGAAGTCATTTATGTGTGTTTTTCATACTATATGTTATGTTTATAATATATTTTAGGGGTATTGGGAATCAAAGTCAAAATTATGCTACCGTGGGATCCCAATGGCAAGAGCGGCCCGAAAAAGCCTCTTCCTGATTATGTATCGATTGTGGAGCCGAAAGAAGAGGTTCCGCCATCAGTTCCAATCTCCGAGGTGAAACCTTCAAAAGACATACCTCAACCTACTCCTCTCGCCGTATAACAGTAATTTAAATGCATTTATATGCATTTAAAAAATAAATACAAAAAATAAGATCTGTGTTATTTTATTTCCAATATTTTTTTCAACATATTAAAAAAAGGATTCATGCTAGGTAAGAATATCTATTTTAAAGAGATACCTTTACTTTTTATTTAAAAAGATTTATTAATATTTTTCACAATATTTGCTACAGTATATCCGATAACTATTTTCATTTATAAACCATTCTGAATTATTTTAAACATAAATATCCAAATGTCCAATAGAAGATAAACAAATTTACATTAGAATAACAATTGGTAAAAGAAACATGTATGACATGTATTAAACATTAAACTTATTCTAGAGTTTATCCCAAAAAGTGACAGGTCAACCATTCCGTGTAATTCAGAAATATAAATTTAATAACTTATGTACTAGATATTATACACAACATTCCCTAATACCACAAAACTGTGCGAAACCAATCCAAAAAAAGAATTGATATTTAATCAATATTGAACTCCATTAATCAGTGAACTTCATTCATCATTATCTTACTAGTTACAAATTTATGGTTCAAAATTACACTTAAATCATAAAGTTAGTATATGTGCATATAATTATATTTCTATTTAAATGTAATGGGCCTTCTACAATAAGCCATTAGTCATAAATCGGAAATTAGAAGCTGAAATTGATCAATTACAGTTGTTAATTTCTAGCTTCTAACTTCTGATTTATGACTAATAGCTTATTGTAGAATGGCCATTAAATTTAAGACTAAAAAATAGAATCCAAAATTTAGCGAAGTTATTAAGAGTTAGGTTAAATCTTTTAACTTATAAATTTTATATTTATAATTAGTATAAATCCTCACATTTTCACTTAACATTTAGTAGTAAATGAGCATAATTGTTTACGTAAGAAATTGTTCACATACTTTGATTGTTTTCACAGATATTTCAAATCATATAATTCATATAACATTCACTATGAATTTTTATGTTTGCACTCACTTTGCGCTAACACTAATTCATGAAAGCGTCGCTGAGTGGACCCTAGAACCCTAGGAGATCTGTCTTTGAGAGACAATATGAGAAATAATTGAAGAATTTAATATCATAAATAATATAGATATTATTGACGCACTGGCGCCATTTGTTGGGTCAGAGAAAGCAGACCGTCGATCATTCTCCGAACGATGTCCGGCACGGCCGGCTTTTTCGACACAGAGCTCAATCCATTTCTAAGTTCATAAAATACGTTACGCGTGAATGGATTTCTTTGAGATGCAAGACGTAGTTTAAAAAACTGATAATAAACAAAGGGAGTCAGTAAACCGGCGCGTCCTCTGTAAAAAAAATATAAGAGATGTTTAAAAATCGCAATACTATTTCTCGATTATAATTCATATCGCGTGGATTACGATGCGACTATAGGTGTTCTTTGTAGCTAAATTAGTATGCATTTGTTGGACTTAAAATGAAATAGATATATTTAATAGAAATTTTAATGCAGCTCACTAAAGCGACATAACTACTAATCGTGCATGATACATACGTGAATACTAGAAGAACGGTAAATGGTAAGATGATGAGTTCCGATAGAGCACACAAACGAAGAATATTCCGTGATTGAAATTCCACCAAGGATATTAACAGACGAGCGCCCCACCAGCTATTATGTCCTAAACACTGAGACAGAGATCACAAGTTCAACTTACATTCTTATTATGACTATGCAGACAATCGTAAGGTATAATTTTTTTGCATATGTACATATTGCATAATCAGTCTGTTTACTTACATCTAGCAATGTAAGAGAATAACTAGCCATGTGCATCAGAGCAAAAAGAAAAACTGGTGTGAGCACCACTGTATACGAATCAGTTCAGGATTCAATTTTATTATTATTAAAACAATTCGCTCTTTTACCTCAAAAGTGACACAAAAAAATTCAGTTCTCAGAAAAGGAAACAATTATTTTTTAACTAACAGAAAATTAATTAATCAAAATAATATATCGACGAAAAAAATATATTCTTAACACAATCAAATATCTATCATTATCATTTTGCGATCCATAAAAAAATCTTTTTAAATTGCAATTTTGTTTAAACTATCCTTTTTTACTTGTACAAATTTTGATGATTTTTATGAAGTTAAGTTATTAATGTCCGATATAGTAATTTTGTATTTAACTCATTCATGGTAATAATTTGAAAGTCACATTTTTTTTTAATTGTCACCTTGAATTAAGAGAGCGACATGAAATATTTAAGAAATTGCTTGAACAGACTACATAAATATGAGAAGGATACATGTAACTGGCGCCGCGTACAAAAATATCAAGGAGTAGAACAAATAGTGGCACGAATCTTCCAACAGCAACGTTTCCAAAAATTGTCTTGTGAGCTGAACGCGGGGAACTCTTTGATGCAGACGTAACGCACTAGTTGCCGCATTATTCATTAATACCTTATAGTATATATTATAGGGATTCCTGAAACAAAACCGTAATTTAATTGAGGTTGAAGTAAGTCTATTTGATCCGCTCAATTATATCCCTTTGGAATTAATGATAAGTTTGTTGAATCCATCTAATAGACCTCTTTGTAGAAAATATCAAACAATTCTATTTTTTTATGTTACATTTGCACAAAAATTAGGATTATTCTTAAAACATTCTTAACATTCATTCTTTTTTGTCATTTTCCTTAATTTCAAGTTCTTGGAAATTAATGCCTTTTAACCTTTAAAGGATGAAAATCTAACAATTTTTAAAATCTTACAGTTTTTTCTTGAGTAAGATTTGTTATAATTCATTATTTCATTATTATTATTATTATTTATATTATTTCAGATATTATTATTATTATATCTTATTAATATACTATATTATATCTATTTTAATGCACGACAAAGTTGAAAAATTAAATGACAAAAAGAATTACAAGAGGAATAGAAACGCAGTACATATTATTTCATTGTATTTCATGCTTTAAAATATGTCACTGCCTTAGCGCCACTATAGAGTGATCTTTCTATTTTGTACATTAATTAACATATATTAATGGATTCCATAAACCCAGTGTCACTAATTAATAAATATGTTTTGGCATCAGTTCCAAAAGGTTCTCAAACAGAACACAAGTTATCATCAAAATTACATCAAAATTACTTCAAAATAATCACTAAAAATCATTTTTCAATCATTTATATTTCATTTTAATGCCATTTTGACATTTTCAAGCTTTGTTGTTCTGTTTGGATTAAGGAACTTCATAAAAAATAAGTGTCGTTCTAGCTCTAAAGTTATGAAAGATATAAGTACCCAAATATAGGAATAATATAACCGATGGTGAATATTATGGTGAAGAGTCTGGTGACCCATAATCCAAATTTAATCTTATTGTCTACAATATGCTGTTTCAGAGCTGGCCATCCCTTTTCGATTTGTGGCGACGAGTCGCTGGATCCACTACTTACGTTATCCACCATCCTGAAGTTAAAAAGAAACAGAATAAGAGTAACTAAGATAAAAAACTATGATAAAAAAAAACAATTATGTCAACATTTATACAAAAACATGTTTGTATTGAAAACTTATTTCCTCGAAGTTGATTATATATCTTGAAACAAGATAATAATTATAAAAATGAGCAAATATATTAGAATATTTATAATTTTATTGATCAATATCTAGCAAATTTGCTCAATTTTATAATTTTCATTTTGTTTCAAAATATACAATCAATCTCTAGACTGACGCAATCAACTTTTTCCTCTCGGTGGAAATATTGATAGAATTTAGAGTTGATTATGTATCTTGTAACAAGGTGAAAATTACAAAAGTGAGCAAATTTACTAGAATTTATTGGAATATTTATCATTTCATTAATCAACATCTAAGAGTCAATTGTATATCTTAAAAATTACAAAAATACAAATTCACAAGATGTTAACTAATATATAAAATTACAAATATTTTAGTGAATTCGTTTTTATAATTTTCACCTAGTCTCAAGATCGACTCTCTCAATGGAAATATTAATATTGTCGAATCTCGGAAGAAACCTGTTTTTTAAATTTATTCAAATAAGCGTGGAAACTATGCAGACTGATAGAATCATCAATAAAAAAAAGGTGCGTCTTTGCGTGTCGTAAGCATCGCGCGTTTCTAAAGTGAAAGTGGCCAGGCTTTCTGCGGGAAAGTCGTTTCTTTTTGGACGAGAAATGAACTCACGAGCCGTTAACGCGTAACGTCAACGAGCGAGAATTTCGGTTCCACGTCTGAACACGCGGCGTGTGTAAGCAATTTTTCTCTTCGTACGCAGCGCGACGTCACACGATTTGTCAGGTAAATTACATAGTCATCCGGATGACACCGCTGTGTTCGTATCATGAAGGCCTGATCTAAATCGGGCGAGCCGAACTTTACGCTTACACGCTGCACGCTCCACACGACGACGCACAAGATACTCCAGTGGTGATCTACACGTCAGTGACGGCAACAAACAATCGCACGAGTCAGCAGTCCACCTATTCGGAACATCTACGTGTCTAAACGAACCGAGAGTCCAACTTCCGACAGTCTCACGAATATTGGCGAATGAATATCATTTCCGTAAATTCCGTTCGCAGATGTCGCACGGTGTCTGCGACACTGTGCCACCTTGAGCCAAAATTAGTGACTTTTAATCAGATTCGACAATTAACTCGACCGATGATTAACTTATCGGGCAGAATTATTTATTAACAATTAGCAAATAATTAACTTTTAAGGTGATGCTAGAGCAACGCGCGGCCGAACTTAATCGATAGTACAGATTTTTTAATTCCAAAAATTTGATATAATAAATTTATAATATTCGAATAATAGTGACATCTTTCATTCATTTCTTATATTTATTACATATTATTTTGTCTCATTCAAACGCATTTGTCTGTCCTTATCTAACATATTGCAACGCCATCTCTTGGAAGATCAAACACCTACCGCTAGGCAATTATTGCTTTGTTTACCATTCCGAGTCTTCACTCAGAGTTCGTATACAGAGTTTGTATGCTCTATGCTTTGGTTCGCGTCACCGACACCAATATGGTGACTAGGGCTGTATTTCAAAATTTACTGCTAGTACTAAAAATTTATAGTACACGTTTACGTAAACTATAGACTTTCAGTGGCAATAAATTTTGAAACAGTCTAGATGTTCACATCGCATTATGCATGGTCTACAATGGGCAGTAGTGAATTAAGAAGTAGGCGTAGAAATCAACTAGAGATAGTTAATTATCCTTCTCATATTCGACTATGATTTGTTGATTTTCTACGCCTACTTCTTAATCCATTACTGCTACTGTTCATTGTAGACGACACATTACGCATTGTCTACAATAGCAGTAGCAGTAGTAGATGAGGTTGTAAGAGTAACAAATTGACCAATCACAGTTGAATGTAAGAAGAATAATCGACTGTGATTGGTCAATTTCTTACAACTCTTACCACTTCATCCATTACTGATACTGCCATTGTAAGCCATGCATTACGATGTCCTTACTGATTACGTCTTACGGCCTTACGTTTTTCTATGTGCTTCTTGCTTTATGCATGCATGCATAAAGGTATATCCACACAAACTTGCATAGCCGCATAAACGTATGTATAAAGAAAATTATCCAATCACATTTTACGTGCGCCTATATAAGAGAAATGTGATTGGATAATTTTCTTTATGCATACGTTTATGCGGCTATGCAAGTTTATGTAGATATACCCTTATAGTCGAAAACATTACTGTATCGAAAAAAATATTTCAGATTTATTTTATATAAAAACGCATTAAATAAATGCGTTTTTGATATAAATAAAAAAATATAACATAATATAATATTAATAAAATGAAATAATAAAATACAATAAAATAAAAATAAATAAAATAAATAAATAAATAAAATAAACAAAATAAAATAAAAAAGTAAAATAAAATATAATGTAACATAAGTTTTATATTTATTTATTAAAAACGCATTTGTTTTGTATAAAAACACTTTTCAAATAAAAAATCGAATAAAATAAATAACACAAAATACCCGAAATAAAACGAAGCATATGTCCGGCCCGTTGGGTGCAATTGCGCACTGTCAATCACAGCAACTTCTGCTTAGGGAGTTTTTTAATTTTTTTTAAGCGCTGTGATTGGCTGTGCGTAATTGAACCAATGGCAATTGTCATATACTCCGACCCGCTCGAGTGATCTCACGGATTAGGTTAGGTGATATGTTCACTTGTCTTCTAAAATCCGTTCGTGTCAACTGAATGTTGGGACACATGAATCCAACTGCTCCAACCGCCATCTTATCTGTGATCCAAGTGCTTTCTGGGTTAATTTGGAACATGCGACGTAAACCTTTTGACTTTAAGCGAGACTTAAAATTCTCTGTCTCGTTTTAATGCCAAAAGAAAGACAGAGAGACAAAGTTTTAAGCCTCGTTTAAAATCAAAGTAATGTTGATGCAATCGGATCTAAATCATCTATTGTAAATCCGGATTTATACCCACTCTAGTCCACGAGCTATAAAACTTTTGTATTAAGGAAACATCTACGTCAGATGATTGCAGCTCTACAAAAAGCTACTCTCAAGGCGCACTCTTGAAAAAAATGTAAGTTTTTAACTTTTTTTTATTTTAATATAAAATCTATTGCAGTACTGCCAAATTTTGCGTCTATACTTTAATTCTGTAAAAGGATTTGTTATTTCGTTCAATAAATTCGAAGATTTCGTCGATCTGAAAAGTCCCAACAATTGGGACTCTAGCATCTCCTTAAATTATATTATTGTATTATAAGACGTTTTAAAGCAATTATTAAAATGTTTTCGAGACATTTTATGTCTGCATCTTGTTCCAGACATGATGGCTGTGTTTCAAAATTCATTGCTACAGAAAATATATAGTATGTGCTGAAAATATATAGTATACGTGACGTAAACTGTAGACTTTCAGCGCTGTCAGTGAATTTTAGAATACAGCCGATGATGTCTGGAAACTGCATATTAATTAGTATTGTCAATTTAATAGAATTTCTATTAGATTTGAAGGTTTTTCCTTTTTACTTTGGAAGATTTTTGGAGAGTACAAAAAATTTAGGAGAATTTTCAAGTAACTTTTGAAAAGAAAGATACAAAAAAGCCCAGATTACAGCTAAAATATTGAGAAAATTGCAATATAAGGAACAACTTTCGAATAGACTTAGCAACAGTAATATTATTAAGTGCATCATGCGCTGGCACAGCATCTTGATATTATCTAGGCTGTGTTTGTATATTACTGCCAGTTGTCAATACAGTACATACTTCGTTCAACGAGAGAATGACCTCGAATCGGAC